ACCACTCCAGCAACCCTCAGTTTGTTTCCTGAGATTAAGAATTCCTCATATCAGTGAGATCATACGATACATGTCTTTCTCTGATTGACTTATTTCCCTCAGCATAGTATCTTATGGGTATCTCCTCAGAATTAATTCCCAGGGCATTTTTTGGTCACATGTAAATTTGGTTTCATTGCCCGATAAAGGACATCTTGCATAAAACGTGAGTCATTCGAATAACTTTAGAGATAACCTCGAATAGAGACATTGAACATATGTTGACTTTTTATTCTCCCCTTTCTCTCTTTACTATATGGAGGAGGTATGGGGAGAGCGGCTTTTTTCCTGGCAACTCAGGAATGTCCAACATAGTAGGCAGCGAAGTAGTCCTGTGGTCGCCCCCTTAGCCTGGATCCCACTGGTCTTTCTGAGAGGAGGTACAAAGGAAGCCAGGGACCTGAGGTGGGCAAGAGCAGACCTGGAGGGAAAGTGGTATGCTAATGTTGTTTTCCTCAGCCATGCATTTCTGAGACCAAGCTCTTTATTTACTGCCCCACAGGGTGAAGGCCTGTGCAGGTTCATGTGAGCTGGTTTGTGAAATGTCCAGAGCTTTCTGAAAACCTGTTTCTAGGCGTTCTGAGCAGGAGGCAAAAGTTGGTGGGAGGGGAGGGTAGAAATCCATATGTCAATTCCCATGAGGCCCGTTTACATAGAATCTGTCTCCTGATCTGTTGTTCTTGCAGATATACTTCTACTGGCTGTGCCGGGACACACACGCCTTTGAGTGGTTTGCGGACTTGCTGCAGCTTCTAGAGACCCAGATGCAGGAGAGGAACAACGCTGGCTTCCTCAGCTATAACATCTATCTCACGGGCTGGGATGAGTCTCAGGTGAGGGCGAGATCCCAGCTCCCGGGTCCTCCCCACAGTGCCCGGGGCTGACTGACTACCCTTTGGTTATCGGAGTGTTTTGTGTACTGTTTTTACCAAGAACAGTTGATGGAATTGGATGATCCGGCCCGTTCACTCTCACTCAGTGTCCCCACATGTTCAGATTCCTGAGACTAGATTCAAAGCTCGTATCTGTGGAACCTAAGGAGCCCACAAGGGAATAAGAGCCATGCCTTTGGCCTTATTAGAGTCATGCTCCTACCAGGGGTCTCGAACCAGCTGGACAAGACGATCCACAGGGTAATGGGAAGAAAATATTAGCTGCCTTTCTCCCTCTCTTTATGCCTCTCTCTCTATCTCTACCTCTATCTTTGTATCTCTACACACACACATTCCTTTAATTTTATGTTTATGTGTATTTTACAATATACACAATACATTTAGTAAGTAGTAATAATAACTGCTCATAGTTATTAAGCATATACCATGTGCTAGGTATTTTTATTAGTGTTTACATAGATTGTCTAATTCAATCCTTTACAACAGCCCTATGAAGCAGCTACTATTATTATCCACACTTTACTGATAAGAAAGCCAAAGCCCAGAACAGGTTGGGTCATTTGTCCAAGGGCACCCAACTAGTAAGAGGCAGGGGTAGAATGTTCCAGAGCCTGCACTCTTAGCAACTCCCACTAGTTCATGATTATCATTTATAAATAAATCAAAATGTATTTAATGAAAATGATATATGTGTGCATATGTGTATATGTATATATGTACATAACATATACATATGTATGTATATGTGTGTGTAATATAACATAATGCATAATACATAACACATTATATGCACACACACACACAACCCTCCCTCCAGGGACATTTAACAATGAAAACATTCTACAATTTATAAGACAGCAACCCCCCCCCAACAAAGAATTATCTGGCCTCAAACGTCAAAAGTGCTCAGACTGAGAAACTCTGAAACAAGTTAATGATTCCTAGGAGGTAAAACCTTTCCTTTTTTTTTTTTTTTTAAAGATTTTATTTATTTGAGAGAGAGCACAAGCCAAGGGGAGAGGCAGAGGGAGAAGCAGACTCCCTGCCAAGCAGGGAGCCCGATGGGGGGCTCAATCCCAGGACCCTGGGATCATGACCTGAGCCAAAGGCAGACGCTTAACCAACTGAGACACCCAGGCGCCCCTAAAATCTTTCTAAATAAGCAAACATCAGTGATTTGGCCTGGAAGCAGCAGAAGCAGCATGAGCTCCCCCTGCGTGAGGAGCTAAGGCAAAAGCCTCTGCCTGCCCCTGGCTGGTGTCTCAGCTGTCCACAGCCACTCATTGTCTCCTCCACCCCGGGCATCTTTCACACACACCTTGGATTGTGAAAACTCACTCTTCTTTTGGGTTTTGGTGTACTGTTTATCATAGGTCCTCCAAGTCTTAGAAGAGTCTTATTGCATGTAGATACAGGAACCTATGACCATGAACATTGCTGCTCCAGAAAAAGGGATTTTAAGAGCCATTTCTGCAATTTAAAAACAAAACAACAACAAATATTGATAAAAAATGAAACCCAGGGGGAAAAAAATCTATAAAATATAAATTACTTTGCAGTTTTATTATTTAAAAAGCCAGACACAGTTTTTTAAATGAGAAATTTATTTGCATTGAAAAATAACTGTTTGCTTTACAAAACTGGTCCCTACAGGATTATTAAACCACAGTGGTCACCCTTCTTAACCTCCTCCATCCCCATCATCCATCCCCTGGCCGGTGAATTTAAAATCTGATTCAAGTTTTAAATAAATTTAATTCACCACTTTTATGAAAAATATCTGTTGTTTGAACCGAGGCCCCCTAGAACGGTAGCAGAAAACAACCAGTGACTATGTATATACACACACACACACAGAGACTAGCTTTAGGCTTGATTTGTTGTCTCATTATGTTGCCACTATATGAGTGCACTTTAATCTGTGGTTGTTTTAGTTCTTAGCGATTCTCCTAAAGGAGTGAGAGTCTAATAGGGTGAAGAGAGAAAGTCACATGTAGAACGGAGAGAAAAACAGTGAGACAGAATTTAAATCCTACCCACACCTTCAACACCCGACGCCAAGTGTTGCCAACCTGCAATCTTCCCATATCCTCCCATCCCACTTCCCTCCCTTGCTCTCAGATATTTGTGCCTCTCCTGCGGCATTCATGATACCCTATTCTACAAATAGGATTATTCACGTTCACACTTCAAGGTCTGCCCTTCTAGATTATAAATTGCCCGAGGAGACCCAGTTTGTTCATCTTTGTATACCTTCTAGCCTTCAAATATATATATGGTTAGAATGGGTAGTGAGAGCTTGGCTTGTAAGATACGTAAAAATAGCTGTTTTTCTTACAGAATGTCTCTTTTTGTGAATTCATGTCCTTTCCCACAGGCCAATCACTTTGCTGTGCACCATGATGAGGAGAAAGATGTGATCACAGGCCTGAAACAAAAGACCTTGTATGGACGGCCCAACTGGGATAACGAATTCAAGACAATTGCAAGTCAACACCCAAAGTAAGGAGTCCCCCACCAAGGTGTTCTTGAGGCTCACGGTCTGCCGAAAGCGGCAGCTCCCAAACACAGCTAGATTTGTATATTCCAAAAACTAAAATACCTAGATTACTATATTCACACCCAATAAAAGGTTCTAGATACCTATGAATTTACGAGGGAGGCTTTAGATCACAGCAAAATTACCTGGAGAGTTATTATAAACAAAGATGCTCGGGGTGCCCCCCACTTCTGCCTTTCTGAACCCTGCTCCTCCCAAGTGGGGCCATAACTCAGTTCTTTTCTTTCAGCTCCTAAATCTCACTGGCGTATCTACTTCTTTTAATTCAATATGATTTAGACTTTTATCATTAAGGAGATACCGTCCCCACTTTCAGTTTTAGTTTTTGGGTCTAAAATCGTAAGTTGCCAGACATCCTAAGTTCCTTTCTGCCTTCATTAAAGCTTTACCCATTCTGGAAGTTTGAGGGGATCCTTTCTCTTGCTAGAACACATGATAGACTCAAGAAATCACCACAAATATACCCTTCACGCCTCTGCTTTTTATCCTTTAATGAACATATGAATTACTTGGGGGTCCTTTCACAATGCAAATGCTGATTTAGTAGGTCTTGGGTGGGACCTAAGAATCTACATTCTTTTTTTTTTTTTTTAAGATTTTATTTATTTATTTATTTGAGAGAGAGAGAGTGAGCATGATCAGGGGGAGGAGCAGAGGGAGAAGGAGAAGCAGACTCCCCACTGAGTGGGGCTCAATCCCAGGACCCTGAGATCATGACCTAAGCCGAAGGCAGAAGCTTAACTGACTGAGCCACCCAGGCGCCCTGAGAATCTACATTCTTAAAAAGCTGAGTAGGAGGCTACTGGTCTGGGACCACACCTTGAGGAACTAGGCTTTAAAACAGAGAGGGATCAAGCCCCACCCAGCTGTTGTCAGGGTCAGTGAACCAAAAGCAGATTTGTTCCTGATTTCTAGATGCTGGAAAGGGTTTGGGGATATAGAGCCCTGAAGGGAACTAGTCCACAGACTCACCACTTCACCACCATTTTCTCCATGGCAGAGGTTTCTATAAACTCTCCTTGAGGGCTATTTCCCAGGGAAGTCAACTGCCTTTTGCAGCTGTCCCCACAAACAGGGCTGAACCACTCTCCCACAGGGTAATCTGAACACTGCCTGTAGTGGAAAAGACAAAGGAGCAGGGGAGACTCTGCCCTAGAGCCTAAAATCAAGAGGAAATGCCCTCACGTGCTTTGTAGTCTGTCTCATCCAAAAGCCTGACACTGTTTTATTTTTCCTTTCTTTCCCCCAAAGTACCAGAATAGGAGTTTTCCTCTGCGGACCTGAAGCCTTGGCTGAAACCCTCAGTAAACAGTGCATCTCCAACTCTGAGTCTGGCCCCCGGGGAGTGCATTTCATTTTCAACAAGGAAAACTTCTAACTGGTCTCTTCACGGGAGATCAATGTGGGTTATGCCGCCAAGTACCTAACCCAATAATGCTAGTTGATCATGTAAATTCCCCCCTTACAAAAAGAGAGAAAATGAAACTATAAGGGGAAGGTTTTCCCCGAAAGGAGTGTTAAAGATTGTTTGATAGTGATAATTTGCATTTGTATGGAACTTTATGGTTTTCAGAGCACTTTTACAAACTTGATTTCATGTTTTACTCACAATAATGCCAGAGAAAGGTAGGGCAAGGGTTCCTGGACTCAGTGTTTAGGATTTAAAAAAAAATAGGGACTCAAAATGGTGAGGTAACTTCCCGAAGATTATGAAGCGTGGACCAGATCTAGTCCATGCGGCCCCAGGTTTGGTGGTCTTTCTGTGATACCAGGCCACCTGGAAGTAGGTTCATATACTCCCCCCAAAAAGCAACAATCCAGGGAGTGGCCATTCATTTTCCATCTTGTGTTATCTTTGTTATCATTGTTGTCATAGTGAATGAACTCTTCCAAATATTTAGTAGATAATATATGCCGAGAAGGATTGAACACTTAAGAGGGACAGGATGGCCATCGGAGCAGTCTCCAGCTTAGCTTTGCTAATTAATGTATCACTCAGCATTTACAATGATGCTTGGCAGAGTGGATACTCGGTGAAAGTTTGTTGAATGAATGAATGAAAAGACATTTAGAACCATACAAGGCCCGGATAGAAATAATTTAAAGCCTTAAACTAAGAATTAGGCCAAGTATGTATCTGATATGCCCAGCTGCTTTAAATAGCATCTACCCCTTGTTTTATTTAAATACACACACAAAAATGGCTCTTATTTGTGTGACTACTGGTTTCTTGTTACATCATCATCATCATCATCATCATCAAATTTATGTCCTAGAAACCAAAATCCCCAGCTTACTGTGTAGGTATTGGATTCACACCCAGTAGAATGTTCTAGATATCCATGAGTTCAAGAGTCTCTAAATCACTGTTAGTGTGGCCAGAAACAGGGTTTTTTGTTTGTTTTTTGTTTCTTAGAACCACTCTTATTTCTGGAAACTAAAAATATCTTTATTTGCCCTACCCTGTGGAACCACAGATATTTAGAACTACTTAACTTTGGTAATGAGGAAGAAATGAGAAGAAAGCTGGGGGAAGGGCACAAGACTGGGTTAGGAGAAAAGGGGAGGGCAGGGGGAAAGAGAACAGGAGGCGAACGAGAGAAAGCAAAAAAGGCACAAGGGAAGGGGAGAGGTGGGGGTCTCACACTGGTCACTTTCCACCCCAGATTCCTTAGTCTTGTATGTATTGAAGGAGACTTACACATGCTCATTTTACGTTGATTACATGTGGTATTGAATCTGAGATTCTGGCTGCAAATTTTGATGCTGGGTGGGCATATTCAAAGGACCGGGATGCAGTAGTAAGAACTCGGTTGTTCTCTCAGGACATGCAGGTCACTGCGGGTTCCTCCTGACAAGTCAGGCTTGCCGTGGGCATGTTGCCTCCCCAAAACGTCCCAGCAAGGCTTTTACTCGGAGAGACTTAGGTCCAGCCTGTTCACACTGCACCCCAGGTATCAGTTCATTCATTCACCAAATTTTTATTGTGCTATTACTCTGACTCAGGCTCTGGTGCTCACAGTCTCAATTCTTTCCACCAGAGCGTGAGCGAGAGGGGGAACCACAGTTCTAGGCGGCTGAGAACCTTGGCCTTCTCTAACCTCTGTGGCATAAGTAAAACTGACTCATCTGTTGCTCTGAAAGTGTGTGTCCAGGGTTTTGTTTTTTTTTTTTTACCTTGATGCCAACATAGTTACCATAGCAGAGAGCCCTGCCCTGCCCTGTATTACCCTGGTTATGAGATGAAAAATGAGTGTAAGAGTGCTCCTCATTACTCCATTCTTCTCCCAAGCCGCCGGCTTTCAGCTGCCCGCAGAGTTCTTCTGGCTTCCAGGACTTAGCACTTAGTAACAGGTACTGAGAGCATGATAAAGCATTGCTTTTAATCTCAAGGCTCAGAAGGCTTTTCTTAGTTCCCCTGCTTTTGCAATATTGCATTTATGAAATCTGCATACTTGTAGCTGTTGTATTTGAATAGTTTGGGGGGGGCCTGGGGGACAATTCCTAGGAAGAACTAATAAAGCTGTGCTCGGCTATTAAAACAAATGAGCTCTCTTGGTGTCTGTGTTATTGATCTTCTTCGTATTAAAGGGTGGATTCACATAGCAGAGATGTGCTCTGCCCCAGTGGGGCTGAGATTGTCTGTGTTTTTGCATGTGATGAGCCGAACGTGTCATGATTTATGGGTTGGGAAGGGAAAACTGAGTACTGAGTCCACTGCTCATGGCCTGGTGATCCTCATGGCACTGGTAGGAGACAAGAGTGTCACCTCACGTTGGGGACAGAATCTCAGAGGCAAAGAAGCCCTAGTATGAGACCGTTTTTGGTTTTTTTTCCCCACTTCCACTCGTTTTGTAGGCTCTAACTTTGCAGTTAGGTGTCATCAAATCATATTGTGAATATATACATATGCTCACGGTTCAGTCTTGGCCGTTGTTCTGAATGGGTCCATCAGTTCGGATCTGCACGGTCTAGGAAATGGGTAGACATGTGGGCATGTGTTCTTCTCGGGGGGTCGGCCACAGGGGGAGAGGACAGCACCTGAAACAAATGTCAGTAAGAGAAATAGCTAACATTTAGCAAAACACGTTCGGCTAAGCCAAACATTCTACATACACTTCGGCTAATCCCTTAGGACACTGCAAGGTAGCCATTTTATCCCAATTTTGTTGATAAAATTGAGGCTGAGGGACAGAGGACAAACGATCGGCACAAGCCATCTCACAACTAGTGTGTAACTGTGTCAACATTGATGCACACCTTTCTGGTGAAAAAGTCCATGTTCTTTATACTACACTAGCAGATTAGTCAAGGTATAAGTAACCAAGGATATTTTCAAAGCTGTTGTGCTAGGCACAGATTATGCACTAAGAACAGCTGGGTAACAGTGGCGGTGTAAATCTCTGGTTTATGCCATCTAAATATCTTGGTATCTCTCCCTCTGCCTCTCCCCCTGCTTGTGCTCTCCCTGTCTCTGTCTCTCTCTCTCAAATGAATAAATAACATCTTTTTAAAAAATATCGTGGTATCTTAGTTTAGAAACGCTGGTTAACCCAATTCATGCTCATTTTTACTTTCATTTATTTATATTTATAAATAAATATAAATTTAATATAAATATAATTTATATAATTATATAATTATAAATTATATATATAAATATAATTTATAATTATAAATAAATATAAATTATTTATAATGTTTCTTTGGCTTTATTGAGGTATAATTGACCAATAAAATTGTAAGATATTTAAAGCATTACAACGTGATCATTCACCAAATAATGTTTTTCCAAAGAACAACTTTTACCTATATAACCACAAGGCAATGAACAAATCCAAGAAATTTAACACTGATACAGAACTATTATTTACTCTATCGTCTATGTACAGGTGACTTTGTGTCCTCAGTGCATTGCATTAGGGGGTAGGTACTCTCAGTTTGTCCTGTTATTGGCGGTTTTAAGTTTGATCACCAGATTTCTCTGTTATAAATGTAAAAGCTTCATTTTACTTTTGTAAATAGTAAGTCACATTTGGGGGGATACTCTGGGACGGTACGAATCTCATTTTCTCCAATAGCCTTTTACCCAGTCATTTTGGCATACATTAATGAAATTCCGCCGAATCAATTTCAATGGTGGTTACAAAAGATCTGGATTCCTAAACCTCAATAATCTGTACAATGGACAAAGGGTTGATTTAATACTTTTATATATTGCAAAATGATTACCACTATATCATTAGCTAACATTTCTGTCCTGTCCCTTAATTACCATTGATTTTTGGGGGGTGAGAACATTTAAGATTTAGTCTCTTAGCAACATTCAAGTATATAATACAGGATTAGCCATAATCCCATTCTGTACCTTAGATCCCCAGAACTTGTTCATCTCGTAACTGTAAATTTGTATATACTTTGACCAATATCCCTCAATGTCCCCCACACCCCAGTACCTGGTAACCACTCTGTTTCTCTGGGTTCAACTTTTATAGATTCCACATATATGTGAGATCATACAGTGTTTGTCTTTCTTTGTCTGATTTATTTCACTTAGCATTATGCCCTCAAGTTTCATCCTGGTTGTCGCAAATGACAGAATTTCCTTCTTTCCCATGGCTGAATAATATTCCGTTGTATAATTATAAATCATCTTCTTTATCCATTCACCTGTTGCTGGGCACTTAGATTGTTCCACATCTCGGCTCTTGTGAAATAATGCTGCAGTGAACATGGGAGTGCAGACATCTCTATGAGATCTAATTTCAATTTTTTTGGATACATACCCAGAAGTGGGACTGCCGGATCATAGGGTAGTTCTATTTTTAATTTTTAATTTTTTGAGGAAACTGCATATTGTTTTCCATAGTGGCTGCACCAATTTACATTTCCACCAACACTGCACAAGGGGTCCCTTTTCTCCACATTCTTGCCAACACTTGTTATCTCTTATCTTTTTGATACTAGCCATTCTAACAGGTGTGAGATGACATCGCATTGTGATTTTGGTTTGCATTTCCCTGATGATGAGTGATGTTGAGCACCTTTTCATGTACCTGTTGGCCATTTGTATGTCTTCGTTGGAAAGTTGTCTATTCCTCTGCCCAATTTTTAATTGGATTGCTTGATTATGCTATTGAGTTGTAGAAGTTCTATGTTTTGGATATTAACCCCTTATCCAATGTATGATTTGCAAACATTTTACCCCGTTCAGTAGGTTGCCTTCTCATTTTGTTTGTTGTTTCCTTCACTGTGTAGAAGCTTTTTGGTTTGATGTAGTCCTACTTACTAATTTTTGCTTTTGTTGTTTGTGGTTTTGGTGTCATTTCCAGGAAATCACTGCCAAGACCAATGTCAAGGAATTTTCTTCTTAGGTTTTCCTGTGGGAGTTTTCTGGTTTCAGGTCTTATGTTTAAGTCTTTAATCCATTTCAAGTTCATCTTTGTGAGTAGTGTAATATAGAAGAATTTCATTCTTCTTATGTGGTTATCCAGTTTTTCTAGCACCACTTATTGAAGAGACTATCCTTTCCCCCCATTGAGTATTCTTGGCTCCCTTGGTAAATATTAGTTGACCCCATATGTGGGGATTTATCTCTAGGCTCTCAATTCTGTTTCATTGGTCCATGTGTCTGTTTTTATGCCAGCACCATACTGTTTTGATTACTAAAACTTTGTAGCATAGTTTGCCTCTGGCTTTGTTGTTTCTTAGGATTGCTTTGGCGATTCCGGATCTTTTGCAGCTCCATACAAATTTTAGAATTGTTTATTCTATTTCTATGAAAAATGTCCTTGGCATTTTGATAAGGATTGCATTGAATATATAGATGGCTTTGGGTAATATGGACATTTTTTAACAATACTAATTCTCTTGATACAGAACATGAGATACCCTTCCATTTGTTTTTATCTTTTTCAATTTCTTTCATCCAATTCTTATAGTTGTCAGTGTACAGATATTTCACCACCTTGGTTAAATTTCTTCCTAAGTATTTTATTATTTTTGATGCTATCATGAATGGGATTGTTTTATTTCTTTTTTAGATTTGTTTTTGTTTTTGAACACAACACAAATTTCATTAAAAGTAAGTAAAGGTAACATATAATATACAGATGGCACATGGTGCCAATTTTATTTGCAGTTACTATAGCACTCCAACTCATGTTTACAAGTTACACCTTTGCCACAGCCTTGGCTAAATCTTGAACTAGTGCAGAATTTAGCTGTGCCAGAGTGCTGATCTTAGCATGCTTAGATGTGGCATGCTTGTTCTTGATAGTCATGGGCTTTGTAAGCCCACGATTCACCATGACTATATTCTTAGCCAGGCGTTGCCTAACATTTAGAAGGGATTCTTCAGTGTATGACAGATAATGCTGTAGAGTTGGTGTTCATTCATCGTTATCGAGAATTTTCAGTGCTAGGCTAAAAGCTCCTGCTGCAATCTGAGAAGGAGGAAAGTGCACCATATCGTAGTCCAACATAGTTCGTTCCATCAGGTATTTGGCCAAAGTATGTTGCTCAACATCAACCTCTCCAATCTTAGATGCTCTCCAAAGGAAATGCAAGGGTAGAGGGCGGCCCAAACCAAACTTTAAGGATCTTAGAATCTTCATTTCTATCTGTCTGATTTGGTGCTCAGTGTAAGTGTTGTCAGTCACGAAGGCAAAGTCACCAATTTCTGGAAGGTACATTTCTTCATATTTGCTTGCAATAAACATGGCAGTGACCACAACCAGCTGAAGCATCTTCTTGGGCACACAATTATTCTGCATGAACCAATCAATAATGGAAACTGTCATGTACATGGTCTCCTGCAGTAACCTGAATTTCATTTGAACCTGTGCTAGCCAGTCCATAAGGATGGCTTTCATGTTTCCGGTGACTTCATGACCCAATAGGTATTTTGGTCTGACTGCTTGCTCTTCCTCAAGTTGTCTCAGACCAGCATAAGTATCTTTCACATAATTCACTACAAAGGTTTGGATCAGCTCCATCTTCTGCATCCACATCATTCACTGCAAGAATTACATCAGAGAATGCCTGATACAGATATTATTCTGCAGGGGTACATCCAGATGTTTCCACTGGGCTTGGAGAGGGAGTATCAGTCGAAATCGTCTCAGGTGTAAGTTTTTCTTCTTTAACGGGCTCAAGGTTCTGGCTCTGGTTCAGGCACAGGCTCGGGCGCCTTTTCCAGAGGTTTAGGTATTTTTTTTAGCAATAACTTTTCCAGGAACCAAAGCTTTTGCTTCCTTTTTTTCAGAGGCAGTTTGGCCTGTGGTTGTTCACTGACTTTGTTACCAGTGTTTCCGAGAGCTGTTCTTGGCCTCAGCCCGGGCTTGAAGGTCACAGTCATGGCCAGAGGCACGTGCTCTGTGACTGCCATACTGATCTTCGCCTTATTTTCAACATTAACTTTTGTGTTCCTGGTGACCCGGAGTGCAATGGCTTCCTTTTCACCAGGCAGCAGCTCAGTGGGGAGAAGCAGAGCGCGGGAGCCACCAATGAGCTGGGGGCCTGAACCTACTGCAGACCAGCAGCCATTC